TATTCTGCAGTAATTTTTGATATGTCTGTAGCTTTCTGCGATTATAAAGGTGATTTCTGTGGTTAACTGTTTTTAAGGGCTATTTTCTGTGATCGCAGTAAATCATCGGCCCTGCTCAAGACATTCAATATTTATAACTGCAGTTTTAATCGTTTCTTGAAACTTACTACCACGCCGGAAACTGTGATTAGTATAAATCCGATACCAACTACTTAGAAGTTTATGTAAGACAAGTCCGGTTATAATTATATAATTCGACTATCTCATGACTTTGGGTGATCGTTGTGGTCCGAACAAGTGAATGACCTGACAATTGGACGAGTGAGCAAACAGCTTCTAATTTTTTTTTGTCACACAAGTTTAACCTGGTACGTTTCTTGTGCACAATCAATATTTGTGCAGAGTCCAGAGGGTATTTTTCACATGTTACCTGCAATTTTTTGATTGTTTTTCGTTTTTAAATCACAAAATTTCCTTGATTCTCTGGGACTTTGATGTTTTCAAAGAGGTGTGAACGGCCACAGATCACTAAATTTTCAGATTCCCTGAGTTTTCAAGGCCCGAATTTCCAGATCTTTGATTTCCTATACAGACATATTTGGAATACACCTATTTACCCTGCAGATTCGAGTTATGCTTACTAATGAATCAGCCAGGAGGTTCGGGTTATGTGATATACGCCAATGTAGTAGCTTGTTGTTTCGTTTGGCTTGACCTGGAACGACCAAAATATCACAATTTAACTGGTCAATCATCAAAAAACATTACGTAAGCTGTTGGGTGATGTACGTACGATAGGGTTGCAGTATACTTCGGTTTAACACTGGGTCGCTCCATATTTTTTAATTCTACTTCGCTCCGGAGCTAAGACAAGTACAGACATAATCCGGATTACTTCAAATAAGATGTGCAGGTAAATCACGTATATATCGATATAACGTATACATATAGGTACTGACGCAGTAAATATCCCAGTCGAATTATATAATTATAACCGGACTTGTCTTACATAAACTTCTAAGTAG